CACCTCTGATGCCTCTGACACACGCATATTGTGTGCGTACGGACGGGCAGTATGGGCAGGACAGCTCACCAGATCCGGGCAGCTCCTAGGGCAGGTACCTTACTCCTATATATATAGGAGTGAGTCTTTTCTTGTGACTTACGATTTATCCATTACATACTTTGGAGAATTGAGTAAAATATACAGTGACTTAAGCATCAGAGGCTCTTCACCAAAAAACCCCTCCGGTGTGAGAGTTCTGTGCAGGTGCGCGGCGTTCTACCGGCGAGGATGAGGAAGGCGAACCGATTTCAAGCCGGTCGGAGTGTTTTGCGTTACCAAACTGGAACTCCTTTAGCAGTAGAATCCTGGTTTATATGGTACTGCTTGGTCATCAAGGCAAAACCTCTCGCCCCTCCTACAAGCCGCTGCCGGTGGTCGGAAAAATGCGCCCAATTCCCCCTTTTTTTTATTCTTCGAGGCTCGTTGATCTCTTGTGATCTCCCAGTCATCAACACACGATCACAACACGAAAAATAATTTACAAAATACATAATTCCATCCTAGATCCAACGAATGGATGTACATGTTTTCTAAACAAATAGGTAAATCTATCCGGTTAACCCTCGGGGAGAATAATAATTACAAACATTCATCCATCAATTCCTCGACATGTCCGAGGCTTTAAAAACAAATTTAAAACCATACATCACATTCAACAACATTCATCAAACATATACTCAGCCATAATAGTGGATTAACTATTTTCCTGCAAAATCGAGTTATACAAATATAATCCAATATATGGCTGCATTTGAACATCTTGTCAAATGAAGCCGTAAAAATTTAAACTTTGTACAAAACGAATTAACCAAGTGCTCTGATGCCATTTGTTGGGATCTGTGAGGATCTTATTATGTACAAATCACAAATTCAATAGCAAACGTAAACATATGCGCAGCAAATCTAAAGATTTGACGTAGAGAACTTACGGCTTGAAATTTATGGCGATCTAGCTGAGCTTCCGGATGGCCATACATAGCACACTAATGAATCAGATCACACGAACGGATGAACCGGGCTCACGTGCAATCGCGACGGTTCGTGTAGGCGGATCTCCGATCGGGTCACGGGTGCCGAATCAAGTCGCGTCCTCCTCGGTCGATTGAATCGCGAGCTGGCCATCTCGCGTCGGATCGTCGCGGTGCGGCGTAGCTCCGACGGGCTTCTGGCGACTTCACAGCGGGCATGGCTCGTCTGGTCGGCGGTCCGGCGGGTCGGACTTGTCCTGAATATATTTTCTGTAGAAGATAATCGGGTCTCGTTTACCTATTGATCTTCAACTATATTACTCAATACACCCTTCTTGAACTTGTACCAGTGGAGCAACAAGAAGAAGATGAAGCTCGAATGAGAACTAAGAGAGAGATAGATGGGGGGCGACTATCACGTGTAATTGTGTAATTGGGATTCTCTTCTCATGAGCTTAATGATGTATATATAGAGCTACAATAGGGACCCTTAGGAGATTAGGAATATGGTTCCTTGATTAATTACACTAACTGTGGGCCAAGCCCACTCCTTTAATTAATTAAATAATATTAATGGACCACCAATATTGTATTATTGCACTCCCTTTTCATAGCCCAAATTACATTTGAGACTCCAATAATAAGTACTCGATTTACCTCCCCACGTTTAAGATATAATGTCCATTAATTAATTCGATTACTGACAATCAAGAATTAATTAATTTATTATTCTTTCACTGAAGCTAGCGCTCGTTCATCACATTCTTATTATGCCGGAACTTAACAATCCTTCATGAACTCACTCCGGGGTCATCATCAAACTAACGCACATGGTGACCGTGAATATCCTAACAGCACATCCTATATATAATAATATTACCCAAAACAGTAGGAATATTAATCCAGCGAACTGAACCTCACCCAAGTGAATCAAAGTAATATATACTATATATATCTGCTTGTTTAATATCTTACGGGTTAAGAGAACGCAATAATTAACCGAGGCCTACTTCATTTGTGACGATTAGTATAAATTGAACTTCTCCTCTCTGGGATCCTATTCAATACATAAATGTGCTAGTACAACTAATCAGTCAAAACAAACTGTACAGTTGACACTACAACCGTTCGGATAGGGTGTCATGTCCATCTAGGTTTGAACAACTATTATTGTACGCAAGTAACTGATAGAGTGATCTTCGGTTCGCCCGATGATGACCCACACTATCTAAGTGCAGAACAACAGAATGTAGAACTTGTTTAATCTAACATGATTCTCATTCATAAAGGAAAAAAGTGTAATAACATGCAAACCAAGCTTTCAGTATATAACCCTAACAACTACACAGGGCTCCCTGACAAGGTCAAACTCTAATGCCGAGCTGAGGCTCTCCTGAACTGATTACTCCCGAGCTAACCGCCTTATTCTGTTCACGGAGCTATCATGAGTATTATATCAATTAGTACTTCAGTATGACTAATAAACAATTGTATTCTATTCATCTTTCTCAGCATAAAAGAGAAAGTGGGAAAAATATTTCATAGTATAAAAAGCATGGTTAAAAAACAGGAACGGACTGGCCGGTTCGAACGGTTGGACTGGGAATCGGCCCAGTTCGAAATGAACCGATTGCTAGCGAACCGCTCGAAAACATGACCTTTGCTTGTACGACTTTCAAGTTGTACCGACCCCTCATGTGTCCGAGCTCTAATCCCGAGCTGGCGAGCTTGTAAACTCACTTCATTGTCCAGGTCAACTAGTATCCTAAGCTACTACACAGGGCTCCCTGGCAAGGTCAAACCCTGACGGCGAGCTGAGGCTCTCCTGAACCGATTACTCCCGAGCTAACCGCCTTATTCGGTTCACCGAACTATCATGAGTATTATATCAATTAGTACTTTAGTATGACTAATTAAATAATTGTATTCTATTCATCTTTCTCAGCATAAAAGAGAAAGTGGGAAAAATGTTTCATAGTATAAAAAGCATGGTTAAAAAACAGGAACGGACCGGCCGGTTTGAAGGGTTAGACTGGGAATTGGCCCAGTTCGAAATGAACCGGTTGCTAGCGAACCGGTCAAAAATAGGTCAATGTCCGATTAAACCAGTCCGAACTGGTAG